CCCCCCCCCCCCCCATGCATGATTAGAAACAGTTAACAAAGTTGAATGCATGCACACAGTCAAACCAGAACCAGGATTTCTGACTCCAGCTTTTTATTTTGCCTAGAGCATTGGGTGTTCAGTTGCCACTGACTGAAAAAGGTCCAGGCTCTGGGGATGAAACTGCAAACTGAAGGAGGTGTACAAAAATGCAGCCTTGCAAAACAGACTTACAAAATAAGGTAGCTAGCCTAAAATAGAAATACCACTCATACTTCTTGAATCCAGAATATTTTGTATCTCTTGTGCTGTTATTATCTTTACTGATCAAGAGCTAACAATAAACAGGCTAAGCACTGGGTGTTTTTCAGGTCAACTGGAGTGTTCTTCTGGCTTGGTAGGGTCTGGGTTCAAGCTGTGGGTGGAGTAGTTGGGTACAAAAAATTTCTAAAGTTAGCATATAGCTGACCTAATGTTATGTCTCAGGCAGTATTAGTGACTAGGAGTAATTTTGCTCCCCCGGGATAGAATGCTAGTTCCTTGGAGTTACCACCACCATTAAAATTGCTGGTTTCAATTTTTAAACTTGGATGGACTAAGAAGCACTGTTAGAGTTAAGTGTCTTGCCCCAGAACACATTGCAGTGACCCCAGCCAGGAACTCTAACTCAGACTTCTTAATCTGAGTTGAAGATCAATAACCATTATGTCATCACATCTATCAGCCAACCCCCAACCGTTTAATCTCATGTCCTCCAGTTAATACCAGCCATATTAGAGACACAGCTCATCACTGAGCTTTCTCTTAGGTCAATAGTCACTTAACAGACATCAGATGCTTATCTTACCTATTTCTATAACCTTTTTGGCGTTGATCAACTCTAACAACAGTCTCATAAATTGTGCTTCATCAGCACTGCAAATCATTCTATGGCCTGGGTGGTCCAAGGTTGCCTGAGATCAAATTATATTAATTATTATCATTAGACAGATACTGTAAAAGGCTTACTCCTTTTTCAAGGTCTCACAGAGAGTTTCTGCCATAGCCTAAGCTTGGTTCTAGTTTTAATGATAAACTGTATCTACGTCTCTAATGCCAAGCCTTCAGCCCTAAGTTCAGCCGATAAAACTCCTGTCGCCCATGATTATATTTCTCTTTCTCATAAAACAACTGAATCCAATAATTCATAGTTGATTTATTGTGAAGCCAGAGCTTTGGGCAATTCCCTATAAAACAAATTGTTTTCCATCTCCTTCCCTCTCCAGGGTTGTAGCCAGTATGTCAGGCAAACCAAGGCACTTGCCTCAGTAATTTTTGTTTTTGTTTTTGTTGTTTTCTTTTTCTGAAAGGGAAAGTTAAACATTGCTAAATATCTGGAAAGAGAATTTGGCCTTGGACATTGCCTCAACCATAATTTTTTCTGGCTAGTCGACTGTGCTGTCATCAAAGTGGGTCAGTTGGTTGGGTAAAAAGAGAGACTGAGAAACTAAAATTGACCGAGGGAGCCAGAGTCTGGCAAACTCTGCCTGTCAATTTTTGTTCCAGTTACTAAATGCTGTGTAACAAAACCTTTGTTTGCAAGTATGCAACGCTGAGAGATATATCAAGTGACATCCACTGACAAACACTTCAATTTAACATACAAGTTAATAAATAAGGTACAAAAGACTTTTATTCAAAACAAAATCTCCAAATCACATGATCTGATGAATTGTTTATTATTATTATTATTAGTACATTTCACTTCCACAGGGGGATAAATCGTGTGCAACATAAGCGCACAGACATAAGCGCGACAAACTATGCAAAATCACTATCCAAAGGAATGCATGCATGCAATGATGTCACACAATACGTCATCACTTAAAAATGGTTCGGTTGGGCAATGGGAAATGAAACATTTCATGGGGATGGCCTTAGATTTCACTTTCAGTTTTTTCTGGAATTAAGACACTCTTGAAATACTTCCAAGGCTACTTTGGTAATTTTTTTTGTATAATTGCTGATCACTGGTTTATGCTGATCAGTTTTCTATCAGGATAAATAAAGATTTTTATATTTTTATGGGTTTTTTTATACTTTTCTTCAGCCATATGTACATTCATATAATTTTCATTTTGTAGTCAGAAATAATGTCATCAGTTGCAGCATGTTGAACAAAAAGCTCGATCTGTAGCTCAGTGCAACTATGCACAATTATAGATAACAGAGTTCCCCCTATAGGCCTGGGGGTGTACTCTAATATAAAAGAGGGTCATAGAGGGGTATTCTCATGATGCGTGATAAGCTGATTTTGTTTTCCGTGAAACGTGACTTTAAGAAATTATTCTTCATGATCCGTGACCTGAGTGCTTTGCGCGACCCATGAAGAACTTGAATTACGAACCGATATTCGTGATTTCACCACTCTGTTCTTCGTGATTTTGAGACACAAGTCCTCTGAATGGTTAGAGTCGTCTATTGAAAGAACTCGAAAGTGATTAAGGTATGCAATTTGCAATATGGAGCCTTAACTTAGCCTCTTTCTAGCATAAGAACAGGTTATTAAAAAGAGTACCTTACTTGCTTATTGTTGTGATTCAGGAATATCAAATTTTAATATCCATGATTCGTAATTCGCTTTTTTTGTGGCTCATGAACAGTGCCAGAGACCACCCCTGTACGACCCTCATAAAAGGAAAGGGTATGCTTGTCAGTAATTTTGAAAAGAACCCCTAAGAGGTGCCAAGATCCTGTTTTGAAGGTGTGGCTTGAAATTTTCTTCACCCCTAAGAGGTACCAATTCCAAAAAAGCACATTATCGCAGGTCAATTTTTTTCCAGCTCAATACCCTAAAAGGTACCACAAAGGCTCCTGCTGAAGACTTTTTGAGGCTGAATACACGAAGAGGTACCAAAATCACTTTTTTGACCCCTAAAAGGTATAACGAGCACCCCAGTCCTTTTTTATATGTGAGTCCCTCCCCCCTGGGCTTATAGGTACATGACTCTGCTTCAGGGTTGTTAATAATGGCCATAACGCACATCACCTGTTATGGCTGAGCATGCTTGATGGGCCCTTGATGGTACGGGTGAACTGGCCTGTAGTTGGTACAACTCTCCCATAAAGTAGCAAGTGTATTATGGGTGTGAAGATCAAGACTACAGATGAATCAAGACTTAATGACAGCCCTGCTTGACAGGTGACAAAATATTTATTATACATATTTTGCGTAGCTTGCAGAATAAAGACCAAGACGAGGAGGTAATTAATAGCAAGATACTTCAGCAAAATAAAAATGATTTGCAACAAAGGGTCAGTGGATTAAGACTTAACCACATAATTGGTCTGCTTAAGACTGGCATATCACAAGATTTTGTGATAACTGAGTTGAAGGATGGTTTAATCGTTGAGGCCCTGTTAGGGGTAAATTCCGACAAGCGACATGGCCTTGAAACGGCGACACGAGAGCCTCGAACTGGCGACAAAACGACAGACTACCCCAGCAAAATAGGGAAAGTGACACCAATGTCAAAATAGACCGACAGCAAATTTCAGATTTGTGAAAGCAGTAAATGTTCTAAACAATAACATCAATAAGGGTTCAAGAAAACCAATAAATGAGTCATAAATACGTCTCATTTTACTGACTGAAATATATTAATGTCATTAATGACATTAATTAACAAAAACTAATATCCAACTGCGGCTCGTCACGGGAGGAGGATTGTGTGAAGAGTCCAAAGAAAGTCTGGGTAGGAGGCTAGACCCATGTGTGCGTGCGCTCCTTCTATCTGTCATCTGTTGGAGATATTTTACTTCATCTGTCACCGAGATGCTATAGCAGGTAAAGTGGATGTAGAACATTTTCAGAGAGGAGACAACTTTGTCAAACCGACAGAGATGTTGTACGAGACATTTCTTAGATATCAAAATGAAGTGGAAGATTTTTTGCCAGACAAAGGAAGTTGCGAGGAGACCAGCGACCTTGACTTCGAAAATGAAAACCAATCAGACGTGGTCTTCGGCGGAATGTCCTTACATACATCATCTGGAAGGAGTGTCATTCGCCCAGACCATTTAGACCTCTGACTAGAGCTTTTCAAATAATAGCGTAGCCGCCCCAAAACATACACTATTATCACTCCATTGCTGTCAGTTGTGTCTTCAGTGACTTCAGTTTTTGGGGGCAGCGTGGTCGAGTGGTTAGGGCGCCGGACTTGAAATCCAAAGGTCGCGGGTTCATGTCCTGCTCTAACCACTAAGCTGGAGTTGTTTCTCGGTAGACCCTACTTCAACTCCTCAGTCATGCTTGTAAATAGCCAACTGGTCTGTCTGCCTCCCGCCAGTTGGGATTTTTAAGCCTATTATGTTTAGTTGATATATTTGTTTCTTTCAGTTTAAGTGGCATGCCTGTGAACTAGCTAGGTGTAGCTAAGTGTATTGACCACTATAAACAACAACAACAACAACAACAGTTGATGTTTTAATATTCTCTACATTACTATCGTGTCAAATTTGATACAAGGCATTCACTTTTAACTGGTAATGTCACATTGATTTATTATTTATTGGGGTCGTTAATAGTCTAGCCATGGATCGAGGTTGAATAAACTGCACCTACAAAAACTGAAAGTCACTTTGGTCTCGGTTTTTATTATTATTTTTATTATTATTATTATTATTATTATTATTATTATTATTATTTTATTATTATTTTTTTTTGGCAAAATATGGCTAGAACAGACCACTTCTTAAAGTGCCACTGAAACGAAATTTTCGTACTCTCTTTTTTTAGCCCAATTTATAGTTTCAAACGTGCTTAAAATAATGGTGAACTTTATTTCTGT